TCACCCCCAATCGGCTAACTTCACAGTTTCAATACATGCATAAATTACATTTCCTAAAAATAAATACTTATAATTAACAATAAAGAAAATTTAAATTATTCTACAATAATTTCTAACAAAATTTAATGGGATATTTGTGTATTATAAAATTTTGATATTTTGCTATCGAGATTTTCCTCCATGCCGTTATTTTTAATCCTCGTTTCTCGATAATCGAAATTTAGGATATCCTAAATTATAAATAACATTAAAACTGTCATCTTTACGTCGTGGCTTTAAAAGGGTTAATAAGTGTTATAACGGAGGGAAAGTGTGGCCATCCGGCAAAAAACGCCTTCCCCAGATTTTTACATTTTTGGGCGTCGAGAAATCAAAAAAATACGGGGGTAATTTCTGTACGCGCGGATGGGTGTGTGGCACGATTTCGTTCGCCCCGTTTGAAGCTTAACTCCGGTGCTTTTTGTGGAAAATTTCCGAAATTTTGCGAGGAGGTTTGCGTATTAAGAGATCGATTTTATTAAATTTTGGCGGTTAAAGATCGAGGGGATGGGGAGATAATGGGGGTGGTGCGTATCTCTAGTAGTGTCGGACTTAATGACGATTTTACTGGTTATTAGCATTTACAATTCTTTTTTATAAAACTCGTTTCTACCCCGAAAATTAAGCTTTTTATCATTTTATAAAAGTTAGAAATATATATTTTTAAAAATAAAATANTTAACCTTCACTACAAACAAATACAGTCACTGCGAGAGTTTTTCTACAAGAAACAAGAAACATCACAGTTACATAAAGCAGTAACTCTAGCAGACTCAAATAACACACCATTAAACTTACACTCACAACATACAGACATGACACAACATATAAATAGCATAGACACCATCAAGCAATCATGGGCTTGAAAGGCACTCCATGGCAGGAATCCTTATGACATGGCCCAAGATTTTGTTGATAAAACTGCATCAAACAGCTGGTTAGATCGGGGATGCCTCTTTGGGGAGACGGAAGGATTCATGATTGCCATACAACAGTGGTTCTCAACCTTTTTTGTTTATGTACCCCATTAGCCCATTAGTTGTTTCTCAAGTACCCCTTATATTTTTGTATGAAAATTTTATAATTACTGCATTAGATGTATACAGTCCTTATAACTGAGCACCATAAAAAAACTCTAACTAACTAACTATAACTAAAAATGAATTACTTATTTTACATAAATAATAATAAATTTAATCAGGTACATACATTTATTTATTATTATTTGACAAGTATATTATATAAAATCACAGAAGTCGTTTTGTGAGTATCCGAACAGGGGTCGACTGAGAGGTCCGAATGAGGGGTGTCGATTTAAAATAAAGAGCTCCTTTTCAGACACTAAGGAAATGGATTAGGTGTCGCAATTGAACAATGCTATTGTTTTGTTTTGGTAAATTAGTTAAACAATGGAAACGGATAAATTTGAGGAAAACGCGACGAGAGAGAGGAATCATATTCAGTCGCTATGTTGACCTCTCCCGCACCCTCCATTAGGTTTTGAATTGTCATCAGGTGACAATGAGAGACCAATGGAGAGGCGACTGCGGTTAAGAAATCTATAAAACCCTGCGACTCAAGAGACGAAAGTTCTTGGTTCTTGGATGCGTGGTGTTTTTTTTCCTGGACGTGCGTGCTCCTGATCTTTGGAAAAGAAAAGAACATTTTGGAACATTGTGGAAACATCGTTCTCTGGGTGCCTCCTAGCGAGCTACAGATTTGTCAGTTCGTCCAACGAGAAGCCGCCGAAAGCCGTGATCAACGCCCCGGGGCCTACGAAGTACAGTAGAACCTCGATTATCCGGACTAATTGGGGATGAAGGTAGTCCGGATAAGGAAAAATCCGGATAATGGAAACAAATACTTTGTCTTTTAATGATAATACAACACGTTTTATTTTCGATGACATATCGGTAATATTAAAAGTAAATACTGTATTTAAATCGTGATCAAATTTTCAAAAAACAAACGTTCGTATTGAATTTGGACTACTACTGACCAGCGCTAACAGACTACATATTAGTGCTGTGCGATGCATCGATGTGACATCGACATATCGATGTTTTTGTTCGTCGATGCATCGACCTTCCGATGTTTTTGAAACATCGATCCTGAATCGATGTTAGCAATATGTGAATTTTGATTCATCGATGTATGCAGTTCATTCTTTGTTCCTAGTGTTACCACCTGTTCGGTTTTCACTCGGACAGTCCGGGAATTTCGTAAAAATTGTGAAATTGCGATGAAACAAAGTTCTTGCAAATATGTTTACAAATTTACACCTTTGGTCATCCAGAAAAATTGATATTAAGATAGAAAATTTTAACACAAATGGAACTTTAAATTCAAATTTTAAAACTTTTTTAGATGCCCCTATTGTGCCTCACAATAGTAATGCTTTGGATGTGTGGAAATCCATGAAATTTTTTAACTATAATTTATGTGAACTTGCCATGAAGTGGCTTTGCATTCCTGCCACTTCAGTTCCAGCAGAAAGATTATTTTCCAAAGCTGGAAATACTATCAACAAAA